TTTTGTCAAATGGTGAGTTCTTACCCCAAACAGCTGGGGTTTCTGGGTTTATCAAACCTGGATTGTTGTCATCTATCACTCACTGTGTACTGTGTACTTAATTCCACTGAAGAACTACCTTATTTATGACATTTGGCTGCTACGTTCCTTGTACTTTTCAATTTGAGATCTCTTTCAGATGATGGGTGGATTCTTTCTATGGCTATTTCACTGTCTGGTTCTAGGACCTTAGGGCAATTTTCCTTGATGATTTCTTAAAAAATGCTGTCCAGGCCTTTTTTTCATCATGATTTTAGGGTAGACCAGTAATTTTTTAATTGTCTTTCCTGGATCTGCTTTCCAGGTCAGTTGTTTTACCAATGAGTTGTTTTACATTTTCCTGTGTTTTTTCCATTCTTTTGTTTCTGCTTGACTAATATTTGATATCTCGTAGAGTCATTAGCTTCCACTTGCCCAATTCTAATTTTTCATGAACTGTTTTCTTCTATTAGATTTTGTACCTCCCCCTCATTTGGCCTATTTTATTTTTTAAGGAGTTCTTCTCAGTGAATTTTTGTGTCTCCTTTTCTATTTGGTCAATTCTACTTTTTAAGGAGTTTTCTTTATTGTGACTTTTTTCCAGTTGGCCAGTTTTTTATTTTTGGGACTGATTTTCTTCATTGTACTTTTTTCCATTTGGCCAATTGTATTTTTTAAGGACTTGTTTTCTACAATTAATTTTTGTCCTTCCTTTTCCAAGTTATTGACTCTCTATTGCATACCTCTCATTTATCTTCCCATTTTTTCTCCTGCCTCTGTCATTTGACTTTTAAAACCCTTCTTGATCTCTTTAAGAAGGCTTTTTGGGCTTCAGACAAGTTCATATTCCCTTTTAAGGTTCCAGATGTGGGTTTGTTTGCAGTGTTGCCTCTTCAGAATTTCTGCCTTGATCTTTACTGTTCCCATAATAAGAATCTATTGTAAGTTTCTTTTTGCTCATGGTGTTTACTTATTTCCTGGCCTTTAAAGAGATTGAACTCTCCTGCTAGGGAGCAGAGGGCACTGATCCAAGCTTCTTGTGCTGGGAGTCCAGGACCTGGTCACTGGCTTTGTGTGCTAGGGCCTCAGATGCTGGCAGTTGGAGGCTGTAGGGTTCTGGCAGCTTACCTGGTGTCAGGCTGGAATCAGCAACAGTGGAGCTGTAGGGGTAGGGGTGGGTGGTCTGGCTCTGGAAGGTTACCTGCTTACACAGGCCATTCACTTTCTTTGGCTTCTTGCAGACAGATGTTTCCCTGCTGCAGGATGTTTCTCCAACTGGAGCTTTCCCTCTTGGAGCTGTGCTTTCCAGAGTGTTGCTGAGGCACGGGGAGACTTGCCTCCCAGCAAACACTGTGGCATGTGGTGGTTTTCTGAGTTGATTTCTGCTGGTTCCCCTGCCTGTACTGAGGTGTTGGTCCTGGTGTTGGTGCTTGCCTGCTCCACCACCTGTGGCTCAGGGTCTCCTCCTGGTATGCTGTGGTGGGTCTTTCCACTTCCGTGTTGAGACATCTCCTGTTCTTTACTGCTCCCCCTCCCCCAGGGCAAGAGGGGCCTTTCCTGTAAATCGCTCAATCATCCTAGTCTACAGGACTGCTGCAGCCTGACCTTTAAGCTGGTTCAGCTGTTCCAGTTTTTTTTCTGGGGCAATATTTTCTGGGCTTTCAGAGGTTAATAAGGGAGGGTGAGAGTGAATTACTTCTTACTTCGCCATCTTGGCTTCCCACTACTTTATATTTTAGCCCATACCACTTTGTCATACAGGTTCCAATCTGCTGTGGCAAAACCTCCTCCTCTCAATTTTTTTCCATTAATTCCCTGGATAGTTTTGATTTTGTCGCCACACACTCAGACTCTGCCAAAGAAATTGCAAAGAACTGAGCTCCAAGGTTTCTAAATTTGTAGAAGCCAAAGAGTTGCAGGCTCCTGGCATATGTGTGGATGCACTGTGAGAGCAGGGGGAAATCAGTATTTGTGAGAATGTCTGGAGTGACAGGTTGGTGACATTAGCTTCAGATACATTATATCTAAGAATTACCTAGTGGCCACTTCTTGAATTTTTGTCTTTCTTGTATTTGGTTTTTTTACCTAACCTTTATATTAGTTGTTCTAGAAGAGAGCTGTCCTTAAAGCATTGCTACTGTCCTCTACTTGTTGTCTCAAGTCTGAAAGTCTTGAAAAAAAAAACATCAGACACATGGGCTGGGTTATTTTTGTTCTCTTATTTCTTGCAAAGACATTAGGCATCCTCAAAAAAAAAAAAAACTTCCAGTACCCTGTTTATTCCTTAGAGGAGGTCTCAGAATTATATGAATCAGAAATCAAAGTATATGAGCCCAGAGAAATATCCAAAAACGTCACAAAAACAAGCAGATGGTAGGATGCTGCCCAACAAGGAGAATGGGATTGGATGAATAAATAATAACAGCACAAAAATATCGCAAAGGAAGTAGATTCCTAAAAGAAAAAACAGAAAATATCTACTGATACAGGACTACTTTCTTATTTTTTTTATGTCTTATGATAATCAACTATTGATATTTACACAGTATCATTCTGAAAAGTAGTAGAAGAGAACAATGAGGTTTTGACAAAAGTTTTCTTCTACAGACCATGAATTTACAGTTGCATCATTTTTGGAAAGGAATGAAAGACATAATAACTCTTGGCACATATTCATTGGTGACAAATCATCTTAGCAAATTGATTGGGCCTTTTCTATGTTCCAACAAGTCTCTCAAAGTAATGTCCAGTTCATCCAATAATATTTGATAAATATAATAACTGATATAACTGAGATACACAAACTGGGGAAAGATGATAGTTTGAATTTGGTAAAGAAGAAATCACTGATTCAGAAGGCTGGAGGGACTTATCAAAGCTTAGAATTGGACACCAGGCACTCATATCTTTAAATTCATAGTTTTTTTCGCACTATTATTTTAAATCCTCATTTATATACTAAATGCCTACCATATGTAAGATCCTTCAACACAACTAATCTAATTCTACATCTATTCAGAAATCAGGCAATATGACTCCAGTTAAAATGCTGTTAGACTCAAATTCAACAAAGAGATGATGTTAACAAAAACTGAAGGCACATTTGCTAGATCCATTTAAGATATTTTATTAAGACTATAGGAGACCAGGAGCTACCTCACTGTGATTGGTAATGAATAGTTTGAAAAGTCCTGGCTCTTCAAAGATTAGCTTTAATTTTCATTATCTCCAGGGTATTTCTGTCTGACCTCAGAAGGATCACATAGCACTTGGAAGCAAAGATGCAATGAGATTCCCAGCACTAAGGGTCAAGATGGAGAAGACCTCCACGGCCACCATGGCCTTGCCCTTGTTGCTCTAATATGTGGGCAGGAAGGATCTCCAGACACTGCAGAATACAAGCATGCTGAATGTTAGGAACTTGGCTTCATTGAAAGTATGTGGCATATTCCTGGCCAAGAAAGCCATGGTGAAGCTGCCCAAGGCCAGCAAGGCCATGTAGCTCAGGACACAGTAGAAGGTAACGATGGAGCCCTCATTGCACTGAATGACAGTGAAGCCAGTCTCAGCATGTATGTCTATCTGCAGGAATGGGGAATAGGTCCCAAGCCAGATGCCACAGAGACACATTTGGATTAGAGTACAGATGAAAATGAGAGAATAAAGATGCTGTGGAGCCCAGTCACCTCCTGAGCTTGCTCCCTGGCTTTGTGGCCTTGAAGGCCAGAACCACAGTGATGGTTTAGCTAAAATGGAGGTAATGGCCACTGTAAACACAACAGCAGATGTGGTTTGTCACAGCAGACAAGTGGCTGTGTTAGGACAGCCAACGAAGAGCAAGGAGCAGAGGAAGCAGAGGCTGAGGGAGCCCAGGAGAGTATAGCAGAGACTGCGTTTATTGGCTTTGACTATGGGGGTATCTCTGTGCTTCACAAAGACTGCAAAGACCAGAGCAGTGAGGAGGGAGAAGCAGAGAGCTGCAAAGGCCAGAGTCATTCCAAGAGGTTCTTCATAGGCTAGGAAGGTCATGACCTTCAGTGGCATTGATCTCTCCCTGCTTAGGTACTGATCTTCAGGGCACTGCAGACACTGCTCTGCTTCTGTGAACCAATAAAAAGAAGCTCACTATAGACCATGTAGATCATCCTTTTCTGTCTTCCAGTAGAGCACAGTTTCAGTCATTCCACACTGAGCTCAGGCTCATTTTGTACTCTCCTTCTTGCATTTTTTCAGGACTTGTTTTCTGCAATTAATTTTTGTCCTTCCTTTTCTAAGCTATTGACTCTCTCTTGTATATCTCTCATTTCTTTTCCCAATTTTTCTTCTGCTTTTCTTATTTGACTTTCAACATCCTTACTGAGCTCTTCCAGCAAGGCCTTTTGGGCTACAGACCATTTCATATTCCCTTTTGAGTTTCAGATGTGGGTGTGTTGACAATGTTGTCCTCTTCAGAATTTCTGCCTTGATCTTCACTGTGCCCATGAAAAGAATCTGTGGTATATTTCTTTTTTGCTGGTGGTGTTTGCTTACTTACTGGCATTAAAAAAAAAAGTGAACTCTTCTGATGGGGAGCAGAGGGCACTGACTCAAGCTTCTTGTGCTGGGTGTCCAGGACCTGGTCACTGGCTTTGTGCCCTGGGTCTTCAGATGCTGGCCTTTGGAGGCTGTACGGTTGAAATTGGAAATCATGCACTCATATCTTTAAATTCATAGATTTTTTCCACTATGATTTTAAATCATCATTCATATGATAAATGCTTGCCGTATGTAAGATACTTCAGCATAACAACTGGTTTGATTCTACATTTATTCAGAAGTCAGGCAATATGGCTCCAGTCAAAAAGCTGTTAGATGCAACTAACAACAAAGAGATGATTATAACAGAAAATAGAAGACACATGATCTAAATCCCTTTCAGACATTAGGATTATAGGAGCCCAGGAGCTACCTCCCTATGATTGGTAAGGAAGAGCTTCAAAAGACTAAGCTGCCCAGGGATTGGCTTTGTTTTTCAGTATCTCCAGGGTATTTCTGTCTGACCTCAGAAGGATCACATAGCATTTGGGAGCAAAGATGCAAGTGAGAATCCCAGCACTAGAGGTCAAGATGGAGAAGACCTCCACGGCCACCATGGCCTTGCCCTTGGTGCTCTGATATGTGGGCAGGAAGGCTACCCAGACACTGCAGAATACAAGCATGCTGAACGTCAGGAACTTGGCTTCATTGAAAGTGTCTGGCAGATTCCTGGCCAAGAAAGCCACCATGAAGCTGCCCAAGGCCAGCAAGGCCATGTAGCCCAGGACACAGTAGAAGGTAAGGATGGAGCCCTCATTGCACTGAATGACAGTGAAGCCAGGCTCAGTATGTACGTCCATCTCCAGGAATGGGGGATAGGTCCCAAGCCAGATGCCACAGAGACACATCTGTATTACAGTACAGATCAAAATGAGAGAATAAGATGCTATGGAGCCCAGCCACTTCCTGAGCTGGCTGCCTGGCTTTGTGGCCTTGAAGGCCAGAACCACAGTGATAGTTTTAGCTAAAATGGAGGCAATGGCCAGTGTAAACACAACAGCAAATGTGGTTTGTCTCAGGAGACAAGTGGCTGTGTTAGGACAGCCAATGAAGAGCAAGGAGCAGAGGAAGCAGAGGCTGAGGGAGACCAGAACAGTGTAGCTGAGACTGCGGTTATTGGCTTTGACTATGGGGGTGTCTCTGTGTTTTACAAAGACTGCAAGGACCAGAGCAGTGAGGAGGGAGAAGCAGAGAGCTGCACCGGCCAGGGTCATTCCAAGAGGTTCTTCATAGGCCAGGAAGGTCAGAGCCTTGGGGAGGCATCGATCTCTCTCGCTACTTGGGTACTCATCTTCAGGGCACTGCAGACACTGCTCTGCATCTGGTAACCAACAAAAAGAAGCTCAGTATAGACCACGTAGATCATCGTTTTGTGTCTCCAATAAAGCACAATTTGAGTCATTCCACACTGAGATGAGGCTCATTTTGTATTCCTCCTTCTAAGTCAAAAGGACAAAAATTCTAGAGGCTGAGTCAGATAAACACATATTTCAGTATCTTCATATATCCATATATGGATAGAATAATGTGCTGGAATTATTGATTCCCTATCATAGGTCTGTGAAGTAAAAATTTAAGCAGTGTATAATCCATTCCAATATTAAAACACCTACAATGGGCCCTACGTTGTCACTTTATGGATAATCCTATATTTTCATAATAGAAATGAGATATTGAAACCATTTCTTCTGTCATTTTTTCATAGACAAAGGCCACAGGTTAGTTTAGAAGAAAAATAACTTTTTTAATGTGTTTCTTTTAATGAAAAGTCATAATTCCAAATCATCTGTGTACTTATAGCACATGATTCTGCTTATTGCAAATGAAACATTCTTCAAATAAAGTAATTTCTATGAAACTTTTGATTTTTTAAAATCAGAAAATATATTGTGCACCTATAACAATAATTCCCTAGTTTCTACAGTTTAATAAATGAGGATTTTATACCTGTCACCACATATTTTCTATTCATCGGTGTTATAATTTTGTTGGATATGTATACATTACTCCATCCTGAGGGACAGCTACTGTGACAGGGCCTATCTCTTACATAGTATTCATACACATATATTTCTTTTGTTGTTTGGTGAACTTTTAATAAATTATATAATTATTAACTTTTAGGTTATTATATGTATGAAATTGGACCAAGGAGAGAAACATAGAGAGATACAAATGAAAGCATATGGAAATTGATGTTTCTCTGAGTCATTTAAATAATAGCAATTAATCAAATAGTAAGATAGCTTAGAGATTATTCATTAGTCAACAAATTTAATTATAAAAGTAGAAATATTAGGAGAAAAATACCTTCCAACAGATGTTGGGATAAGAATATATGAGTAAAATTAATCAGTAGAAGGTAGAAAGAAGGGTGACCAGTCAATTCACACAGTCTTTCCCTGTGATAGTCCACTCCCTATCCTCATTTCATTTGTATGTTAGCACCATAAAATTTTATGTAATCATACTCCTATGATCCCACCAGAGAATGAAGGCAGCCCTGGATTTTCATCACGTAAGTCCCTGAATATTTTATTCAACTGTGGCACTGAATGAAGAAAAAACCTATGAAAAGCAAGCACCTTCAAATACAGTATTGAATCCTCTATACTCTACTTAGAGGTTGCTGTTTATCCTTTGTTCTCGAAAGGGACCATGACATGAGGAAGTTCATGTCGTGACATGCAGTTGAATTGGATATAAGTGAGGGAGGGCTTTGCAGAGTCCCCAGCCTCAGTTTCACCTCTGGAGCCATCTGGGTCCAGTGGTTAAATAGAGATCTGGAGGTGGCCCAAGATTTAGTGGGGATCCTTGGCCTTTTCAAGTTAAAATCAAAACATGCTTCATAAATAGCAGAATTGTGGAAGAGGGATATAGGTTTCTGTGAACCAAATGGTTTATATATCAGTTGTAGATACTGAGTAATTTTTGATTCTCTCTGTATTCCTAATGTGAAAACCTGATCTTGTGTCCAATAAGTTCATATACTGCAGGAAGACCTGAATGATATAAATATAGAAATTCTTGATTTTTGAAACATGAAAAAAGGAAATATGAAACTAAATGGGAAGATATCCCAAAAGTTTATTTTTTATATTAAAAGATTTAATGGATTTGATGAATTGAGAGCAATTTGGTCTATTATAGAGTCTAAGACAGAAGGAAGATTGTAGCCATAGCCAGGAGTTACACAGTTACATAGAACTTGTGAAATGTGAAGTGAATGTCTTCATCAGGAGACTACCAGAAGACCAAATAAATATCTTAAAGAATCCAATATCAGATGAAGAGAATGAACTAATTGTAAAGGAACCATCAAGGAGAGGATAACTCTTGCTTCTAATGGTTTAACAGCAGAATTATATGGGAGCAGCTAGGTGGTGTAGTGGATAAAGCGCTGGCCCTGAAGTCAAGAGGACCTAAGTTCAAATCCAGCCTCAGACCAAACACTTGACACTTACTAGCTGCGTGACCTTGGGCAAGTCACTTAACCCCAACTGCCTAAGGAAAAAAAACAAACAAAACAAAACAGTGGAATTATATAAACTCTCAAAAAAATTAGTATGAAACTATAATCATTATTCTCAAGAATTTACACAGGGTATACCTAATAAATTTTATTAGGCAAATAAAGCCCAATACCGAAACTGGAGAAGTGTAAAAACACAGGATCTGTATTTTACTATGATTAATATTAAAATTTTATTCAAAAATTTTAAATGAATTCCTGTCAAGTAGTCACCAGTGATTCCTCCAAGATGTAATTACTTCTGTGCAAGTTAAACTTATATTAAAGATGCAAGAATAGTACATTAGAAAAAATTATGTTAAATGTAATGTATTCAAAAGCAAAAAAACATTCTGTCACATGCTGAAAAATCCTTTAACAAAGTAAAATAAATACTTATTTTGAAAACACTACAGAAAGAAAAATTTAAAGAGAGACTTTTATATCATAATAATGCATCTTTAAACAGCAAAAATGTGTGCAGATCTGTACTAGTATTTTATTCAATAAGTAGAAGAATAAAGTGATGAGAAATCTCCTCCTTATTCATTGGAATACTACCAGAAATATTATTAAGAATATTAAGGTGAGGGAAATTAAAGCATAAAGGTAGGAAAAGAAAAGGTAAAACTATCCCTGTTTTTGAATGACATGATGGTTTACCTAGAGAATCCTAGGGAATCAGTGAAGATATTAGCTGGGAAAATTAATAGAATCATCAAGTAAACTACATAATAAACCCTGTAAAACTCTACATTTTTACATAATGGAAAATTCAAGAGGTTATAAGAGCCTGCTCCAAATAACTGCAAAGTACATAAAATATCAGAATATCTATGGAACTATTAAAAATCCTTATATTCAGTTATGAGAGGTCCTTAGAGAAATAAATAACTAAAATAACAAGAAATAGTCTATAGTCATGGCTTGACCATAACAATATAATAAAAGTGAAAATAAAAGTCTAGGGATTCCAAGAGGAAGAAGTAAGGAGTATTTGCAATACAAGAATGGAGGACCACTAACAAGAAGAAACAGGACATTGTGTTCAGTGGATAATGAAGTTACTGAGAAAACAGTTTCAAGCTTTGGAACATAATGATTTACTGAGCAATGCATGCCAATTACATAGCAAATCAGAAGCAGACTTTCTCAGCTTTGGTGCTAGACCTCAAATACACTTGAGGTGTGTCAATATCAGATCTTTATACAGTATTTTGTGAGCCAAATTTGGTTGAGTAAGACTCCAACCCCTAGGAAAATGGCCTTTCAAAAAAAAAAAAACAAACTCCCTGGAGTACTCTGGTTAATCTTGGTTAACACCAAGGCATGTTTTCATGCAGATTACTTTCAGAGGCTAGACACTTATTCTCAATCTGAATTCATCTATATACTTAGGCAATGTTTAGATTTTATGTTCTGGATGTTAAAATTTCCCAAAAGAATAGGAACTTAAAGATTATGTTTTAGATTAAATTTTCCCACAGAAATGAGAAACTTTACAATTAAGTATTAAGGGTGGGGAAGCATTTAGGATTCCAGTAGTAGTAAAATACTGTTGGATTCTCCTTGGTATCATGAACCAAAGTCTGCTTCTGATAGTCACCACAATGACCAAAAATCATATTGATGAAAGATATTGAATAAGTGCAGTATATTTTAATTTAGAAAATATTATTTTGGTAGGTAAACGTCCCTGCAGGTTAAGACTCCACAAACTACAATTTCTATTACTTTGGGAGAAGGACTGTTCATCCTTAGGAACCCACCTGTCTGGTTGGAAATCTGCCCTTCAGGGCATAGGGTGCAATCAAAGCAGCAGATGGGCTGGCCTTCACAGACTGTCTTCTTGAATCCAGGGCCACAGCTCAGACTGCACGTGGAGGTTGGAGTCTGTGTTTCCGCCATAGAAAGGGAGAAAATGTCATTGTAAGAATGACTGATGAAAGATAGATGCACTGAGGTGATGATGATTTCAGACGTCTACTATGGAAGGCATTTAGAATAAAGTGTTTGGAATTCTACAGGGCAAGGATATCTAATTCTCAATGAAGACTTTCTTCCTGTATTTCCATCTTCCACTGCAGATCATCTTTTCCCGAATGAACCTATACTGATTCTTCAGTAGGAATAAACAAGTTACTTAATTTTTTTAAACTATAATATCTTGGTGGCACATTTTTTCCCCCAAAGTATTAATATATCTCTAAACTGTACTCCATATTTGAATAGGTAATGCTGAAATAATTTATCAACCACATAGGTGGAAATAATTTATTTAATATCTTCCATCAAAGACCTATCTTCTGTATTTTCATAAAGTATCCTGAATATTTCAGGGAATCATAATTTTAGAGAGTATATACCATAAGGAACTAATTTAAGAGTTCTTCTTCATTGAATCTATGTAAGAATGAAAGGATTTGATTGACTGATCTGGATTCTTGGGCTGACATTGAAGCCTTCTCTGGGGACCACTGAGAAGGGTGGGGTGGAATTTATCAAGCCCCCAAAACAAATTAAACTGCATAGATACATATACATGACTGATGTAACCATAAGATTTAAATTAAGAATCTCTAAAAGCCATTGTCCTTCATGGGGACACAAACTGAGGAGAAATTGTTTATATAGCTATTGGATTGTACATATTGGATAGTCTTTGATGCTGTAGGTCCCTCTGGGGAAAAAAGTTTTCTCCACTCTCTACCCTGTTATTCTTGAAACTTGACTACTTGATTTGGGATATTTCAAGTTTCTCTTAGTATGAGCAATTCATATCATTATGTAACTTAGCTGGAAAGAATTTGAAAGTAAGATTTAAAAAAAAAAGGAAATCAGAGCTCTGTCTCACTCAGAGCAAGAAAGAATAGTAAGTGGATGCTAGAGCCCTGCCATAGTCATTTCCAGTGTCTTTGGGGAAATTCATTGTCCTATCGAAGGAACAACAGTGTCCAGGACTCTAAACAGGCAAAGTGATAAAGCTCACCTCATTCCTTGGCCCCATACCTGAAGGAAATCTTCTGGCCATTCTATGTATTCTTCATTAATGCTGAATCCCTGATCATGAGGGGTCACTTCACCCACTTTCACCAGTGTCGCCATCTGACCAGGGAAGTAGTCAAAATTCAGGATATCACATGTCTCAGTCTTGGCTCCATCTCCACATGACTCATCACTGGCACTAGTGCACTTCAGGAAGTGATGGAGCTGAAGGCAAGGACAAGAATTTATTACTCCATGGGGAAAGAAGGACTCATGCCCATGCCCCAGACTTGACCATCAACACAAAATAGGCTCTGAATTTGGAGCTTCCAAAGGTGTCATTCTCTCTTTTCTTGAAATTCTTCTTCTTGTGCTCCTCTTAGAGCTTTGCATTCTTTTCTCCTTTTCCACAGCAAACCATGGACGATGGAAGAATAATAAATCCAGTAAACAATTACATGTTATAGATATTGAACTGACTTCAAACACCATTTCATCTTCAAAAGCCTTTCACCAAATTAGGAATTTCTCCCAAATATCTCTGATGTCATTCATTACAAGTTCTTTTCTAAAACCTGTGGTCACAGAGAACTCAGTACCTTCCATGAATGGAATCTGACCATTTCCTCCTCATTTGATGTTGAGGTCCTCAAAAACAGGGACTTTCTTTACCTTTATTTGATTCCCTGAACTTAGTACATAGTGGGTGCTTAAGAAATGTGTACTCAGGGGGCAGCTAGGTGGCGCAGTGGATAGAGCACCGGCCCTGAAATCAGGAGGACCTGAGTTCAAATCCGGCCTCAGACAAAACACTTGACACTTACTAGCTGTGTGACCCTGGGCAAGTCACTTAACCCCAATTGCCTAAAAGGAAAAAAAAATGTTTACTCATGGCGTGATTTTTAGGGGTAATCTTACATCTTCTACAAAAGTCTCCTTAATTAAAAAAAAAAGTCCAGTGGAAGTCTCTATAGCAGTTGTTAAGGAAAACTTAGGGTAGCAGCAAGGTGATGCAGTGGCTAGAACACCAGTCCTGGAGTCAGGAGGACCTAAGTTCAAATCCAGTCTCAGACCAGGTACTTGACACTTACTGGGCAAGTCACTTATCACAATTGCCTCAAAAAAATAAGGTAAACTTAGGAATAAAGGACAATTTGACGTTAATAGAGATGTAATTCAAGGTAAAGAAACAATAGCAATTAAAAATGATTAAGAGACTAATTTTGAAAGTTCAGTGATACAAAATAAGTAGAAAGGAGAATAATTTCAAATGAAATTATGAAAGAAATTGCATAATGATGAACTGTAAGAAAATGAAACAATATAATCTGAGAAAGCTTTGACAAGCAGAGGTTTCAATAAAAGCTAAAAAATCCTTTTGGATTGTCATGGTTCAATGGAAAATATTTGGAGGAGCCAAGATGGCAGAAATAAGCCAGGAAATTGCCTGAGCTGTCTTCAGTTTCTCTTAGAAACAATGTTAAATCAAGCCTCTAAATATTCTGGAGTGACAGAATCCTCAAAAACGCAGAGTGAAAGAATTTCTAACTTAAGATACCTTAGAAGGAATTCGGGAAAGGTCTGTCTCACTTGGGTAAAAGAGGAGTCCAGGCCAGAACAGATAGTGTCTGGGCAAGCCAGCTAAATGCTCTTAGTCACAGCACAGATCAGTGAGGCCTCCACTCCAGTGCAGTGGGCAGGCTACCAACACCTGTGGCCCTGTAGCAGAAAGCCAGTCATCAGGGCCCTGGCCTCCAGCATAAGAAGTTTAGGATAGTGTCCTGTGTGCCGCAGGAGCAGAACTCAACTTTAAAAGTCAAAAAATAGGTTGAAAAATGAGTAAGAAGCCAAAAAGAGCCCGAGCCATAGAAAACCTCTATGGTGACAGGGAAGATCAAAACATTAACTCATAAGAGTACAACAATGTGAAAAGGCCTACATATGAATCCTGAAAGGGGAATATGAATTGGTCTCAAGACCAAAAAGTCTGCTTGGAAGAGTTCAAAAAGGATCTTAAAAATCAAGTAAGAATGATGGAAGAAAATTTTGGAAAAGAAATGAGAGTTATGCAGAAGAATTATGAAAAAAGAGTCAACAGCTTGGAAAAGGAAGTACAACGATTGACTGACAGAAACAAATACTTAAAAATAGAATTGGCCAAATTGGGGAAAATCCACTGAAGAAAACAAGCCCTTTATAGGTAGAATTGGCCAAATGAAAATGGGAGTACATCCAGGAGCCAAGATGGTAGTGTGAAAAAGTAAGTTACTCTGACCTTCCGCTACTGACCTCTGAAAGCCCAGAAAATAGTGCCTCAGGAAAAACCCTGAAATAGCTGAGAAAGCAAAAGGATGGAGTGCAGCAGTTTTCTATCTCAGGAAGCTTGGGGGATTAACGAGAAAGGTCCATCCAGCTCTGGTGGAGGGGGAGTAGTATAGGACGGTAGGCGTCCCAGCAAGCCAGCAGCAAGCCCCACCTCAGCAAACCAAGGGGAGATCTTGAACCCCACAGTTGTGGAGCAGGCAAGCACCAACATGAGGAACCCCTGAGTGCCTCAGTAGAGGCAGGGTAAAGGATGGACAGAAGCTGGGAAAATCACCACATGTTCCATCATTCTCCACCAGCCAAATCTCCCAGTGCTTCAGTACAACTCCAGGAAGCACAACTCCAGGAGGCACAGTTCCAGGCTGGCAGACATCCTCCAGCAGCTAAACATTTGAGTGTAAGGCCGAAGTGAGCAGACATCTCCCAGGACCCAGACTCCTCACCCCTATCCTGAGAGCTCCAGTGTTGCTGACCCTAGCTCAGCACCAGGTAAGCTACCAGACCCCTACATCTTCCAGCTGCCAGAGCCTGAGGCTGCATCACACAAAGCCAGTGTCCAGGTCCCAGACTCCTAGCACAAGAAGCTTGGGTCTTTCCCACAGTGCTCCAGCAAGAGAGATCAACTCTAAAAGCCAGGACTTAGGCAAACACCATGAGCAAAAAGCACAAATGGACAATGACCACAGATTCTTATTATGGGAACAGGGAAGATCAAGGCACAAATTCATAAGAGGACAACATTGTCATTATATTCACATCTGAACCTGAAAGGAGAATATGAACTGGTTTCAAACCCAAAAAGTCTTCTTGGAATAGCTTAAGAAGGATTTTAAATATCAAATAAGAGAGGTAAAAGAAAAATTAGGAAAAGAAATGAGAAGTATGTGAGAGACACTCAATGGCTTGGAAAAGGCAGGACAAAAATTGACTGTGGAAAGAAAGTCCTTGAAAAGTAGAACTGGCCAAATGGAAAAGGAGGCACAAAAAATCACTGAAAAGAACTCTTTTCAAAGTAAAATGGGTAAAGTGGAAAAGAAGGCACAAAATGTAATAGAAGAAAATAATGTATTAAAAATTAGAATTGGGCAAGTGGAAAGTACTGTCTCTGTGAGAGATCAAGAATCAGTCAAACAGAAAGAAAAGAATGAAAAAGTAGAAGAAAATATAAAATATCTCATTTGCAAAACAACTGACCTGGAAAATAGATTCAGGAGAGACAATTTAAAAATTATTGGTCTACATGAAAATCATGATGAAAACAAAAAGAGCCTGAACAGTATCTTTCAGCAAATCATCAAGGAAAACTGCCCTGAGGTCCTAGAACCAGAAGGTAAAATAGTCATTGAAAGAATCCACCAATCACCTCCTGAAGGAGACCCCAAATTGAAAACTCCAAGGAATATTGTAGCCAAATTCCAAAATTATGAAGTCAAAGAGAAAATATTGCAAGCAGCAAGAAAGAAACAATTTACATATCATGGAAGCATAGTCAGGATTATGCAGGACCTTTCAGCTTTAACATTAAAAGATCAGAGGGCATGGAATACAGTATTCCATAAGGCAAAGGAGCTTGGATTAGAACCAAGGATCAACTACCCAGCAAAACTGAGCATAATCTTTCAGGGAGGAGATGGACATTCAACCAAATAGGGAACTTTCAAACCTTCCTGATGAAAAGACCAGAGCTCAAGAGAAAATTTGATTTTCAAATTGAAGACCCAGGAGAGACATAAAAAGGTGAACAGGAAAGAAAACAACAACAACATTAATTAATTAATAAGGTCAAAATGTTTATGTCTCTACAAGGGAAGATGACACTCGTAACTCTTGAGAATGGTATTGTCATTATGCTATTATGAGGAGTATACATAGACAGAGGGCATGGGTATAATTTGACTTTGATGTGATGATAAAAATCTAATAAGTGGTGAAAAGTGATTGTACAGAGAGAAAGGAAAGGAGGAGGCAGACCAGGGTAAATTGTATCACATGAAAAGACAGAAAAACCTATTGCAGTAGAGATAAAGGAGGGAGGGAGATGAACATTATTTGAACCTTACTCTCACTAAATTTGGCTCAAAGAGGTGATAACATAATCAGTTAGGTATAGGAATCTGACTTACCCTATAGGAAGTGGTAGGGGAAAAGGGAAAGGAAAGAGAAGGAGTAGATAGACGGGAAGGAAGAAGCACTAAGGGTAAAGGGGGAAGAAAAGAGAGGGGCCTGATAGAAGGGAAGGCAGACTGAGGGAGGCAGTGATCAAAAGCAAAACTCTAGTGAGCAGATAAAGGGAGAAAGGAGAGAGAAAAGCATAAATGGGGGAGGGGGAATAGGGAGAGAAAGACACTGATAGTAATCATAAGTGTGAATGTGAATTGGATCAACTCTTCCATCATAGAGAAGTGGATAGCAAAGTGGATGAAAAACAATAATCCTAAAATATGTTCCCCCCACCACCCCCGAAGAAACACATTGGAAGCATAGGGATGCACACAGAGTAAAGGTAAAAGGCTGGAGGAGAATATATTATGTGCCAGCTGAAGCAAAAAAAAAAAAAGATGAAGAAGAAATGATAGCAATCCTGATGTGAGACCAGGAAGAAGCAAAAACTGATCTAATTAAAAGAGATAAGGAAAGAAACTACATCTTGCTAAATTGTGCCATAGAAAATGAAGTAATATCATTACTGAATATGCACCAAGTAGTATAGCATCCAAATTCTTACAGGAGAAGTTCAGGGAGTTACAGAAAGAAATAGGTAACAGAACATATACTAGTAGGGGACCTCAACCTCCCCCTTTCAGACCTAGATTAATCCAACCACAAAATAAACAAAAAAAGTTAAGGAGATGAATAGAATTTTAAAGAAGTTAGAAATATGGTTGACATATAGAGAACAT